ACCACATCCTGTATCAAGGACCCATGAACGAGAAGATAATGAGTTATTAGCAGAAATAGTGTAAATACCTGCCGAAGATGGCTTCACTTTGCCATCCTTGATATCTTGCAGATATTGTGGGCAAGATCTCTTCCAATGCCCCTTTTGGTTGCAGTAAAAGCAAACTGCCTCTTTTGGATCAGAAACATGGGGAGTGGAACCATTGGGCTTAGCCTTTGGGCCATTACTAGATGACCCAGCTTGAGCCTTGCTCTTCCAGTTTTGCTTGGGAGGACCTTTCCTCTTTTTCCCCTTTCCCTGTCCAATAGCCAAAACAGGGGCACTCGTAGGTGTGGAGGGTATACTTTTACCCTTCATCCCTGCCTCAGCTGTCTGCAACAAGTTGTGCAATTGGGCCAAGGTCTGCTCAGTATTGTTCAAATGGTAAGTTAGAATAAACTGACCATAACATTCAGGAAGTGAGTTCAAGACCATGTCAATGGCCAATTCCTCATCAAAGTGAATATTGAGCTTGACCAAACGCTCTATGTAGCGTTGCATTCTTTGCACATGTGACACTACCGACTCCCCATCCTTCATCTTGCAAGCCATGAGTGACTTGACTACTTCGAACTTTTCTTGACGAGCTCGCTTATGGTACTTTTCCATAAGGTCCTTGTTCATCTCGAAAGGCCAGTAGTCCTCATAGTACCTCTGCAGTTCTGGGGACATAGTTGCCACCATGATGCATGCCACTTTGGTAGCATCATCGTAATGTTTCTTGTAGGCAGCAAGATCTTCAGGAGTAGCTTCATTCTCATCAAGCTCTTTGAGCTCCTTTTCAAGAACATATTCTTTGTTCTCGAAACGAAGAGCCATCTTGATGTTGCGCATCCAATCGTTATAGTTTGAGCCATCCATAACGACTTTGGAGCAGATATTGAGCAAAGAGAAGTTCTGGTTGGAGGAGGATGAAGCAGAAGTGTTTCCAGGAGTAGACATCTGAAAAGAAAGAAAGTTTTAGTTAGATTTCAAGATACCTTAATAGAATAACCCAAAGATATAATATCAAGGTTAGGATCCAACTATGAAGATTCACAACTTAGAAATGGGATGCCGAGATCCAAGTGCAAATTTCATAAAGGTAGGTGAATGACGATTCACCAATTCCACCATTAGACGAAACAAACGAAGTGAAATTCCTAATTCTTTTGAGATACATTGAAACTATTCAATGGCATGTTTTAATCTCAGATTATGCTCTTCTATTTGTGACTGGGATGCCGAGGATCACAAACAAGATGTGAATAACCATGCAAATGTGCTTGGTAACCTCATTGTCTTTATCATTAACTATTGATGTGCTGGTAAACCACACACGCTCCATCAAAATGACAATTATGAGATACCCATTACTACTCTTTATTGGTGCCTTTTAGTGTGCTGGTTAACCACACACGCTCCACTAACGACCAATAAAGCATAATGTGCAATTTCATGGATTAGCATACTTTTCACATTTTTCCTAAAGTAACTAGAGTTGGGATTTTGAAAATAATGTTCTAGTACTTTTAATATCATTATACTTTTAATGAGAGGTAGTTGTCCTATCAAATCCGTTCTGCTAACGACCCTCCACTAATCAAGGAAGCGGTGGGTGAGAGTGGACACCCATTCAACTACCATTTTATAGGCAGTTTCCTTATACCCCCCTTATAGATTAGCTTCGTGAATGAGGCATACTAGCGATTTGACTGACCATGTTCTTATACATATATAATATTAAACTTTTAATTATAATATATATATAAGGTGTGTTTTAAAACATTTTAAAACTTCAAGGGTTTATAAATTTCGAAATTTAAGCTATAAATTTAAATTTAAATAAACCAATTAACTAGATTTAATATTTATCTTTTAATTAACTATTAATCAAATTATTAAATCTTGTAAGGATTATCTAATTAAATTAATCCATTAATTTAATCTTAATCCTTATCCCTCTAAATTTCGAAAATTAGGGTAAGGATAATTATCCAATTAATCTAATTAAGTAACAATTATCCAAAACAAGAAACCCTAGTTATCCTCTAGCATATTTCGAAATTTACAAGGGAGGAGGCTAGGGTTTTCAAAACCCTAACCCTAATTTCGATTAGGGTTCTTTGGAGGCTAGGGTTTTCGAAAAAACCCTTTGATCCAAAACCCTAGAAATCGAAAATTTGGCCTTTAGGGTTTAATAGCTATAAACCCTAATTTGCAATTCAACAATTGTAGCAATTCAATTTAAAACAACTAGGCTCTGATACCACTGATGGGTTTTATGGTACAACAAATAAACTAGAAACAATTCCTAAGTTCACATGCAACCTACTTTGGATCTATGTTTTAACTATTGAACATACAACTTTGAATTGCAAAACAAGAACCCTAGAGGAGAGAGGCTAATTTCGAAATTAACAAACTAGGGTTTAGGAGTTACATACCTTTCAATTGTTATAGCAAACAATTGATAATCCTCTTGATCTTGATCTTGATCTTCTTGGAAGCTTAGCACCACAAATGTAATGCCTCTAATGGAATCACACCCAAGAACTAGCAAGAAGGAAACTTGGAGGAGAGAGGATGGAGAGAGTATGCAATTTCGGCCTTAGGGTTTCCTTCCAAAGAAATCAGTGCCCAAAAACATGAACCAGGAGGCTCCTTATATAGCTGAGGGATCTAGGGTTTAAGGGAAACCCTAGTTATCCTTTGCTTAGGGCCTAAGCAAACCCAAAGGCCTTATTCAAGCCCCTATGGACGAAATTATTAGGGTTTCCCCTAAAGATTTCGTCCACCCTCTTCCAAGGAGGTTCTAGAGCCTTCCACTCAACTATTAGATAATTGCAAACTAGTCCCTGCACCTTATAATTAATTCTTTTAACCCCAAAATCAATTCTGATTAATTTCTGGCTAACAATTAATTAAACATAATGATTTCTAATTAATATATTAATCCATTAACATATTAATAAATCATTTATATTAATTCATTAATCTTATAAATTAATATTTCTCCTTTCATAATTTCTTTGTCCAGTTGCTAGGTTGAGGGCAACCCAAAAGGACTGTGCTGCTATCAATTCAAGTACATACCAATTATAGTTATGGGCTTAGACACCTAATCCAACAAAAATGACTACTTACCCCTGGTCAAAGTCAACTTCCAGTTGACCGGACTCGCCGAGTTGGGCCGCCAACTCGCCGAGTCCCTTTCATCCATTCTAGTCCTCTACTCGCTTCTACTCGTCGAGTTTGGCAAAGACTCGACGAGTTCTTCTTCGATACAAACATCGAGTCTAACTTCATCCGACTCGCCGAGTTGTATGAACAACTCGTCGAGTTCTCCTTCATCATATGAACACGTCCAGTCTGTGGCTCGCCGAGTCGTATGAACAACTCGTCGAGTCTGAAGAACAACTCGCCGAGTTGAAGAACAACTCGTCGAGTCCCAAGCATGCTATTACTATACAGTCGATTCTAATCTATTTCAGTGCTTCCAAATCATAGATCTGAGCTTCTAGGACTGGTTTTACACGTAAAGTTTCCAACTTTACGTGCATGCACAAGGGTATGAGGCTAAAATACCCAAAATCATCAAATACTAGGCTCTTAGGGTTTGGAACAAGGCCAAGATTTCATAAAGGTGGCTATAATGAGCTCCTGGAGTTCAATAACGTCCAGATCTAAGGTTTCCATCCAAAGGAAAGTCCATATCTCAAGTTTTGAATCATATAAGGCTCCAAGGAAGACATAACAAGCATAAAAGAGGGTTTAATGGAGGAATACACAAGGTAATAACTTTATTACCTGAATGAGAAACAGATGGAAACTAACTCTTGGATCTCCTTTCTCTTTATATGGACCTTCTTTCGTTCCCTTCCAAAGCTTCCAAACTAGCACAAACACACTCAAGTTCAACAATGGGGGCTAGGGTTTACAGGGGAAAAGGTGTTGGAGGCTGGGGTGGGAGGCTATAATGACGTTTAAATAGGGTACAAACCCTTGAAATTAGGGCTTCATCCAGACAGGCAGACTCGCCGAGTCCCAACATATGGACTCGCCGAGTAGCCAACTTAAATCGCGAACTCATCCCGCTTCTACTCGACGAGTCGGGCTATAGACTCGTCGAGTACCCCTTAAGAAATGGAGATACTTAATTAAAATTACATACCAGAAATGGGGCGTTACACATATATACTACCTACTTTCCATTTATATGCAACATTTTTGTATTGCTATTGCATTATTACTATTTTATGCTAATTCCGAAATTAACATCTATTGGAGAATTATCAGATTGTTATAATCTCATTTAGATAGAAATATTTGCTAACTATTACGGGTTTTAGAATTTGATTACGGGTTTTAGAATTTGATTAAGACATTTTGTAGGGTTTTATATAAAGCCATTAGATGTCATATTTTTATTCATTCATTCATCCTCTTTTCTCTTTTCATCCTTTGGCGGTTTCTACTTTTTGTACCCTATGGTTTTTATGTTTTGGGTTTCCATTCAAATTTTCGTGTGTTCTTCGTGAGTTGATTATTTGTGTTCCAAACATTCTTAGTTTATAACAATTTGGTGAGTTGATTATTTGTGTTTCAAACATTGTTTGTTTATAAGGCTGGAGGGAGTGGTGCCACCGAAACCGCACTTCTTCCCCCGCCACATAAGCGTCATGTCATTTTTTACCACACAAGTGTGGTTTCTTGCCACACCAAGGGAGTGGTGCCACACTTTTATTTTCTTTTTTTTTTTTTGTTTTTTATAACTATTTTAATATAATAAAGCTTATTTTTTTTAACTATTTTAATTTAATAAAACTTCTTTTTTAATAAAAAACATAATTTTTCATTACTTGAAAATTAAAAAAACATTACATTGCATTACCAAAAAAAAAAAAAAAACGAAAATCACACACATGACATTTAAATAATCCTAGAAACTTAAAAAACACAAATAAAATAACTAAAGCAAACTACATAAAGTCGTTCTCCGAGAACTCGTCTTCGGAGTCATCCGGTGGATCCAAATTAAGGTTAATGTTTTGAACCCCGTAAATGTGTTCCACCAAGTTATTGCGAAGATTGTGAAATGTTTCAGTGCAACGTATCTCTGCTCTCCTGTTCATATACTCTTCGCCACCAATTTCTATTGGTTGTGTCTCTGGTATGGTTTCTTCCTCGTCAAACGCACATATTGCTCTTCCTTCGTCTTCAATAATCATGTTATGCAATATGAGACATGTATACATGATTTCTTGAAGTTTTTCCTTGCCTAAATAAGCTGCTGGTTTTTTCAATATGAATCACCGTTTATTCAGAGCTCCAAAAGCACGCTCAACATCCTTCCTAGCTCTTTCTTGAGCTCTCTTGAATTTCTTTCGTCTAGAACCATGTGGACACGTAAACGATTTAACAAACACAGCATACTCAGGATAGATTCCATAGACCAGATAATAACCATACTTATATGACGTTCCACGCACTTCAAAAGAAGAATCTGGTGCGGATCCATCGTATATTTTGTTAAATATTGGTGAACGATTAAGAACGTTAATGTCGTTAATCGAACCAGGAGAACCAAAAAAAGCATGTCAAATCCACATATCTTGTGATGCAACTGCTTCAAGTATGACCGTTGGGTGACCATGATCACCTCGGTAAATTGCACATGATATGATGTAGGGCAATTTTCTCATGCCCAATTGAGACAATCTAAACTTCCTAGCATTCCAGGAAACCCATGCACACTAGCATGATGAGCTTGCAATTGCAGGATGTCATTACGTGTAGGCTTACGTAAATATTTTGGACCATAAAACTGAATTACAGTTTTGCAGAAAAAATGGAGACTGTCTCGTGTGATCCTAGCAGACATCCTAAAAGTTTCGTCTAACGCATCAGGCGGAATGTCATATGCTAACTGACGAAGTGCGGTCGTGCATTTTTGTAAGGGAGTGAAACCAGGTGCACCTCTAGCATCGTAGCCTTGTTGAAAAAAAATGCACTCCCTCGTTACATCTTCAACTATACGTTCGTATAAACCTTTGAACATTCTGAAGCGCCTACGAAAATAATACCCTTGATAAGTGGCATTCTCTTCAAAATAGTCTTGCACCAAACGTTGGTTGGCTTCTTCACGATTTCTACAAATATATCTTCGTGTTCTCTGTTGAGAACTTGCAGCTGCGTTGTTGCATAAAGCATCGTATGTTTGTTCCGACATTTGAGCACACGCAACAGCGGTATCAAAAATAGTCTGAAATTCTTCAGAAGATGAAGAATATGACATTTTTGAGAGAGTGGTGATTTTTTTTTTTAATTTTGAGAGAGAGAAAAGGTTGTATTGTGGTTTAAAACAAATGAATTGGATATGTATATATAGGAAAAAAAGGCAAAAAAAAAAAAAAATTCCGGACGCAAAGGACTGTCAACGGTCAAAAGGTGGAACATCCAATCAGATTGCGCGGTTGTTTCTAGCCGCACTGCGGTTTTGGCCGCAGGAAACCGCACCCTGGGGGTGTTGTTCGCGGTCCACGTGGTTGCACTGCGGTTTGGAACCGCACCACACACCGTATAGCCTAATAATTTTGTTGATAATTCTGAAAAATTAATCATTTGATAACACCTTTAGTTTTGTTATTTTAGTGAGCATTCAATTGGTATATTGCCTCTTCCTTTTTCTTGTTTAGAACTTGAGCGAATAAAAGAAAACAAAAACAAGGACATACAAGGCTGCATGAATCACTGCCAGTCTAGTCCTACTATATAAAGACCAAAACAGTTTTTCAAAGTTTTCATAATAAATCTGCATAGTACAGTGCTACCTACCAACAAGTATTCCTCATAGACTTAGACTGTTGCCTTTTTATATTTTCTTGTAGCAATCATGTTTTTCTTGAATGCTACACATCTCTTTTTACATTATTTGAATGAAAATTTATGGGGTTTACACCAAAATTAAACTACTTTCTTGTCATATCAGACATCAATATCAAACCTTTCTACATAAAACAAAAATTATATGAATACTACTTATTATAATATTTGATGTAATCTTTGGTGAGGAACACACGATAAAAAAAAAAACAAAAACAAAATTATGAACCTCGAGAAACCATTTCAAGTTCCATGAACATTTTGAGTCTTTGACCACTAAAACAAGCAAATGCAATTTACATTTCGAACATCTAAAATTCACATACTCAAAACTTAACAATTTTCAAACAGAAAAATCAAAGGATTACCCACAAACTAACTACCACTGACTCTCCTTCCATCCTCCAAATTCTTGTGCATAACTTTCATTTTCCACCTGTAAGTATCCATCAAATCAAAGACATAGATTATATATAACTATATAAGCCAATTAATTATCAAAAATACCTGTCATTCTTGTATGTTTTTTGTATCAATTGTGTATATAACAGTTTTAATTTAAGAGAGTGTGTACCCTTGGGGTGAAGGAGACACCCACTCGAAGATCTCCACGGTAGCTTTGGCTACTATCCACGATACTATACTTTTGAGCACGTAGCTCAAAGCTTCCATTCTCCACTCCTAGTTCCAGTACTTCTTTCAAGTATATTCTGCATGCATACAAGAACTTGTGATTTTTTGTGAAACTGTAATCAAAATGTTATCATTGGTTTAATAAATTAGTCTTTACATACGTTGTTTGTCCAATGTAGTCATCAGATGAGAATGTATCATGGTCCATTATCTTGAGAACAAGCTTAGGTTGTTCATCTGATCCTGGAAATTCCACCCTGAATTTGAATGTTTCATTCCAGCTTGGCTTGCTTCCCTGCCCTGCATCATTTAAAGATGACAATTAAGTTTACAATGGAAAAAAAAACCATTTAATTTAACTAAATAAGGAAAATGTTTTACCTTTGGCAATAGTGCTCTTGTGTTCTTGACTCTTGTACTGAATCAACACATATGGATCTATTTTATCTGTGTAAAATGAACCAATAGTATAAAGTTATGTTGTGCTTGTAAGTCTTTTAAGGAAACATAGATTTATGGTTTTTTTATTGATCAAGATTCGTGTACGCTTCAAGTTCAGCTATTACCCCACAATCATATAGACAAAAAAATTGGTAAGTGGAGCCCAAAAATCACTAACATGATAGTATTAATTAGATCAACTATAGATCTTAACTAATAAATCATGTGATCAGGTGAGAAATTAACACACGATGAACGGAGTGCTAACAATCAATGGTTGACTACAACAAAATATCATAAATACTGTAATTTTTAATGAAAATAACCAAAATATCCAGACTGGAATGTGGTAGGTCCACCAAATTAATTAATGTGTTAATGCGAAGAACGTTTGTAGGACTTTCTAGTGCAGAAATGAATCTTCGTCAGCTGATCATGTCGAATTCCAGCCGAAGATTTACGAGAAACAGATGCAATACACATATAAAATGAACAATCGCGTCTGATCAAACAAAATTCGAACAAAATCGGTGTACAAAAGGTATAAGAAGAATTGGAATTGAAAAAAATAAGAAACATACTGAGGAAATCGGAATTGCTAAGACCACGAGCATCCACCAGATTCACCTCCATTATTCCGATCGTCATCTCTCTTATTTTCAGATTTCTCTCTCCCTATGAATCTATCTGGTTTGCTAAATCACACAGAAGAATGAAGTGAAAATGAAATTGAAAATCACACGCACACGGCAGCGTACATTAATGGAACTATAAAGACTGGGAGATGAGAGTATCTACTATCTATACTATTACAAGTTAAACCCTCATATTTTGAATTCATGCCAATCAACCTACCTCGTCTTTAATGGTTATTTAAAGAGTCAGTTGTTTGGTTGGTTGTGGTGTTATTGTTTTGATCAAGACTTCAAGATTCCTACAATGGCTGGCGTCTTTGACTTGTTCAGCATGGAGTGGACTTTTCAAATCTAGTTGAAGTTTTCTTTCCCTCATGAGAAGAGTAGCTTCTTTATTATAAACTTTTACTAAGTGAATAAGAAATGTAATTTTTTTTTTATTTCTCATAATTATTAGTTCATGGTCTCCAAATTATAGATTTCGTTTGAGGAAATTAAAGCAAAGGCATTTTGATACTTGAAAAATGTTATTCTATTACATTTTAGACAAAATATCCAAATTTGTTCACTTGCTTTGCAAAATGTCATATGGTAAAGACAACTACACTAGTATAGAAAGCATTTGTTATTACGGTTAAAACCATTAATTGGTGCGGTTATCGAACCGTGTCAACTAATATCGCATCAACAAATACCCTTATTTAATTGTGTGGTTATAAAAATGCACCAAACACAGCCAAAACCGCACCAACAAACAAGAAACCACGCCACTAAATACAAAATTGTATTATTAAACATAAAACGCACTATTATAAAACTGCACTCAAAGACAACCAAAAATATTGACATGATTAATAATTTTCTTAACGAAAAAATTAGATGAGTATACGAATTCAAAGTTTTTCGATCCTTCCTGAAGACCATATATTACATATGCATCAACCATGATGTTAAATGATGTTGTATTTGGTTCAAAACCCATATGTGACGACTTATGTGTCTGTCTTGAAATGCTTGTCTTGGAATGCTGGAGTACGCGATTGCTTTTACCTCTGGATGAGATTACTAATCCTTGGTTTTGCCTAAACCATAAACTCATAATATAAATATAACAAAGAAATTCTAATCCAGTTAGTTAACAAGAAAATAAAAAAGAAATGGAAGAATACCTTTTGCATATCAAATTTCGACTCCCCGTTGTTGGATAACGAAGTAAAAGAGATATACTTAGAAAACAAGCATACCAAGAACTTATAATGGTGAAGCGTCACTAGCGAGAAGGGGTCGTCATAGGTTGTGGCTAGGGTTTCTGCCTATTGGAATATTGGGAACATGAAGATGACTATTTTTGGAATCGAGTGATATAGCCTACATGGCTACATGGCTTTATGTTTTTTTTTACTTTGGAATCACATAGTGTATTCAGGACAAGTCGATTTGCGAGGAGAAGTGAAGAAGTCGATATGGAGATAAGGGTGTGGATTTGGGAGGGAGGAATGGAGGAGACAAAATAAGTGGGAGGGAAACAAAAAGTCGAACCAAATAAATTAGAGGGATCTCTGCAAATTTGGAGGGATTTCATGCGAAATGAAAATTTTGAACGAAATAATGCATTTATTGGTATGGTCATATGAAATCGCACCAACAAATACTTTAATTGGTGTGGTTACTTGATTTATTGATATGAAAGTATTAAGTATTTAAATGGTGCAGTGTGGGTTACTACCCCACCAACAGATCGTACCAACAAATACGTTTTTGTACTAGTCCTATTAAAACAACTATGAATTTGATATTTATGGTTTGGTCCTTTACACATATAAAATATATAAAATGACATTTATACCATTTTATTTTATCTTACATTTCTTAACTAATTTTAAATAAATAAGCCTCCACTCCATTTTTTTCAATAATATGTATGTACAAGTAAAAATGAAAAATATACAAGCCTACTAAATCAATTAATCCAATACTACACACTAAGATCAGGGTCGCAACATAGGCAACCGTTCAGGCCTATCGACAAGTACATGTTCAACTATGTTGTGAGCACAGAAAGAAATCATTAGAAGTCTAAATCAAAAAGAAGGTGGAAACGAACATCAAAATAGGAGAATAAAAGAGAAATATGAAATCAAATCTATGCGACCCACGCACCAATTCCTGGTGCTCAGACGAGTCACTTTTACTAGGTAAACTTTTTATGTAACCGGATTCTTTTAATTACCCTATAAAATGTTACATGTTACATGAAAATGATGCACCTGCTACAGTTAAATATAACTTAAAACAAAAATATGAAGTTTACGAAAAAAATTGTTTTATAAACATTTCCACAACAATATTAAATTAAAAAAACTAGATACGATTTACATGATTTCGGTCATCTAAAATACAAATATTGAGCACCTGGAAAATCTAAATAGTAAATACAAATTCAAGGCAAAATCCACAAACTACCGTTGGCTCTCTTTCCATCCTCCGAAATCTTGTGAATAAAATTCTGTTTCCACCTGTAACCATGAAATACAACACCAAAAAAGTTATATAAGCAAAACTATAGTACATTTCATCATTCTGCTATTCTTTCTGTATACACTTATTAAATAGTTAAAGATAAATATATACCCTTGGGGTAAAAGTGACACCCACTCGAATGTCTCCAGAGAAGCTATGGCTACTACTATCCACAACACGATACTTTTGAAGACGAAGTTCAGAAGTTCCACTCTCCACTCCAGATTCGAACAGTTCTTTCAAGTATATCCTGCATGCATGCATGATCAATAAGTAACCAAAATCAAACAGTTGCAGTCTTTTGTGAAATCATAACAAAAAAAAAATCATCAAATTAAGGTCTTACGTTGTTTGTCCGAGGTAGTCATCAGATGAGAAGGTGTCATGGTCTATAATCTTGAGAACAAGCTTAGGTTGATCGTCTGCTCCTGGATATTCGACCCTGAATGTGAATTTTTGGTTCCATTTTGGGTTGCTGCCACTCCCTGTATCATTTAGTTAAGGTCGATAAGTATTTCAAATGGTCACGTATGACTTATTCCAAAAATACTGTGAAAAAAGGTTTTACCTTTGGCTATTAAGCTTTTGTACTCTTGACTCCTGTATTGCACCAACACATATGGATCTATGTTGTCTGCAAGAAAACGAATAAGGAGCATATAAAAAATGGTGCTTGTAAATCTTTTTAAAAGAACATATCTGTATATGACTTTTTATTAATCATCAAGATTAGAATTCAATTGAGAGAAGTACGTACTTAGGAGATCGGATTTTTTGAGACCATGAGCATCCACCAGGTTCACCTCCATTACTCCAATCGTCATCTCTCTTTACTTCAGATTTCTCTCTCTCTTAATCTCTCTTTCTCTGTCTAGTCAAATCACACAGCAGAATGAACTGAAAATCACACGTAAATGGCAGCGTAAAGGTGAGAGTATTTATAATATTTACAAGTTAACCCTCAAATTTTGAAGTCGCAATCAAGCATTCAAGCTACTAGTAGTTTTTTTTTTTGTAATTATTCCAAGGATGGTACTTCTTTGGTAGGCCATGAAAAGGTCGTTTCGTTGTTTTGAACAAGACTTTTAAAGATTCTTTAAATGGCGTCTTAATTTTGACTCCTTCAAAGTCAATCCCCTTTCATGTATGGTTGTGTAGGTTAGAGATTAGAGTCGCTTTCTTTCAGTTTTCTAATCAAAGTAAATAATCCGAAGCAGTTGGAATCAACAAATTAGATCATTTTCGTTGTACAATTTGCAAAATTCCGCATACAGAGACGTCTCTGATCCCTTCAAACTCGACCCATTTTTTTTTCTCATAATGCAAAAACTTTAAGAAGTGTTGCTTTTCGATGAACATATAGTGAGCGTTTCCATCGTTTTGAAGAAAAATATATGTAATATAAAATGATCAAAATCAAATAATAAGTTACAAAAATTACAAATTATAGAAAACAGTGTCTGAAATTGTTTATATAACTTTTATCTCAAACTCCAAAATGTTGAATCCCAACAAACTCAACAAGTGCACATCTTAATTTAGTATTTAGTGTGCAATATATTCTAATTTTAAGAAAATATATATTGAATAACAAAAAAGTCTTCTTATATATCAGTGAATTACTTTAAATATAAGATATAAGCATTTATTTGTTGTCCATTATTAACAATATCTTTTACATACTACATCCAACATTTTTTTCTTCCTAATAAGTTATATCAGTAACTAAAATATCTTAAATTTACCGCTGAAGAGAATGCTAATATTAAGATGTGATTCAGTCAGATTAATTGGGTTTCAGTTTAATAGGTTTTTTAACAATTTTATATTAACTGTTGGGTTTAACTATTTTTGGGTCATTCTGCTCGGTTTACGGCTAAACTGAATTCTGTATACTTAGGACATATTTTCCATGCACACAGTAGAAAACTAAAATAGATTTTTGTTCAAAATATGTTATAACTGAAGATTGGGATAAGCTAAGAAACTCAGCTTACATGATTAATCAAGCAAAATCGCAGGTAACAAACAATACATAGATTTCAAGCATTCACAATCCATGAAATACAACAGAGTCTAGAAATGATACACAACAAGTTTTTCCAGTGTTGTTCTCAACTTAGTAAGCAAATATGAAGCATACATGTACAAATACCATACATACCCCCATAACATAACATGAGGTGTCTTCACTCTTCAGGTCCTGGGTGGTGGTGACATATCATCACCAGATCTAGATCTAGACCTAGACCTAGATCCAGATGGCGACCTTGCTGCTCTACCAGATGATTTATATGGTGACCTCCTCCTACATAGTACATACATAACCACCTTACTCCATTAACTGCTATCTTCAATAATGATTGAAAAAACATTTGAGAAATTAAAAATTAAGTGCTTAAACACATACTGACATTACCTATCAACATTATGATCATTAGCAGCAGCATCATAGCCTGGAGAATAAGATCTACGGCTACGATCATCATCAACCTGAGGCTCTCGTCTTACAGGTGGCGGTGATTCAGAGTAGTCGCCACCTCGTCTTTTCGGAGCAGGCGAGTAGGACCTACAAAGTAAAAATAAATTCACCATTTAAAAAAAAAAAAAAAAAAAAAAATCAAAATATAGTTATGAAAAATAGCAACATAGAAATTAGTCAACTACCTTGACCGTTGACGGCTTCTAGAACCTGAAGGACGACGTGGGGACCGCGAACGTGACCGAGATCGCCCTCCTAAATAATTACAAACAAACAAATTAAAATCCAAACACAAAAAACAAAGCATCATGTTATGATGTTATGATGTTAACTTACCATGATGAGATCGCCTTCCTTCATACCCCGAAGATTCCCTATATTAGTTTCCAACAACATAAATATCAGAAACCTTAATAAAGATTAGAATGTTAAGAATAAAAAAAAAATTTAAAAAAATCATGTGTTAATGAATGTTAACCTAGGCCTAGTTCTTCGGCGCATCTCCTCGGGTCTTTTTCTTGATTCAGAAGCAAGAACAACAGAAATCTCTCTACCAGCAAACATCCGTCCATTCATATGGTATTGGGCCTCTCCAGCTTCATAAGCATCCACAAACTGCACAAATGCAAACCCACGTGGCTCCCTGCATAAAATTAAAAAAATCAAGTATGAATGGCAAATGCAAACCCACGTGGCTCCCTGCACAACAGAAATCTCTCTACCAACCAGTATGTGACACTAAGCGACCAAAGATTCTTCTAATTATATACCTTTTCTTCTATAATCAAGTATGAATGGCAAATTGGCAACTTCAAAAGATGAAAGTGACTTCAAAAGTCTTCAGGTTTCTTGTAAATAAGTGATGAACTTGAAATCAACCTTGTCCACAAGTTAAAATTTGCCTCAACTTCTCTTCACAATCTTTTTTCCACATCAAAACTTGTAATGATTGTGTGATTATATAATGAAACATTCTTCTTTTGGTGAAAAAGTTAAGCAATGATAAACAACAGAAGAGCCTTCATCAATTGTGGGGCTTGGGCTTGTTTTAACTTCAAACCAACATACCCCCTGACAAACCAGGTCAAAACGTAACTCCCCATCAACACAAATTAAGAAAAGAAAAAAAGACTCGTAAAACAACTTTTTTTTTTTAAACCAAGAATACTCACTCTTCTCCCAGCTACTATATTCTAATCACACGTGACATGCCTAGCTAGCGTGAATCCATATCAACAAACATAATCCAATTCATTTTGAGATTATAATTTAACATCTTGATTTATGACATTTCATTTCAAATGGAGGTCAGATGCGCAAACCTACCCAGTGTAATAGTTCTTTGGGAGATAGACATCTCTGACCACTCCAAACCTTTCAAAGGGGACACGAAGCTCTTCTGGCCTACAAGTTCAATTAGATAATCCCAAAAAGCTGAGGTTAAACAACAATGGAAAAAGTGTTGAAGATTTAAGATGGAAAGAGAAGGGTTTACCTGCAATTTAATGGAATATTACGAACCAAAAGACTGCCATGATTCTGATCCTTGTGCCTCCCTCGCTCACCACCATATGCCCTTCGGGGAGGGCTTCTTGGTCGACCTCCGTGTCCTCTATCTCTCCGTGGAGGACTGTGATAGGGCGGACTATATCTTCGCATGGTTCAACCTCGGCAACTAAACTGTAGTTGAATACCTGCTGTCAAGTTTCAGTAGCTACACAATTAGGCAATTTGAGGATACCCTTTCAAGGAGCATATAGTTCACATATAATTTTCAAATATAGAAACGAAACTGAATCCAAGTTTCCAGAAATCTGAATATGAAAATAACCAACGTTATAATTTCACATCAATACAGAATTTTGTATTTTCTTAAGGACTTATCACAGCTTTGCCTCGGAACAAACGAAATCGAACCTTATAGATGTGTCCGGTTCACAATAAAATTAGTATCGTCTTCAACTTTTGAGGAATCATGAACCCGTTACAAAATTAAAAGAAAAAAAAATCATATTCTCAGATTTGATTCGAATCGATAACCGAAAGTGCGAGAAGTTCAAATGTTTTAATATATATAAAGATTATTCGGAAATGATAAGGAAATCAAGATGATAAATTTACCTGAGAGATGACAAGAACGGGTCAGGAGATCGACAAGAAAAGAGATTGGTAGATCCAGATGCTCGATTTGAAAATTTTACAGCCTGATGAGACTGTTTAGCCGTGCCCTAGAAGCTACAACTAGAAAACGAAGTGGGCTTTAACCTTTTATTGTCCCGTTAGAATATCCACTTTGAATGATGCGCACAAAACCCGGATTTTTTATCCGACCTTAGTAAAACCTGTTATAAAGGAACCGGGATAATCATCGAACTTATCCGGATTTTTAGATGGCTTTTTTCGGATTTCAGATAACCCGGTGAGCAAATTACAAAATAGTCTTTGTGGTTTAGGTAATTTATGTATTTGGTTTTTAGTTTTTTATTTTAACTCGGACCATTTTTATAGTAAGTTTTTGGTGTGCGTTTTGGCCACGGTCATATTCATACATAAAATAACTGTGTTACATATGTATATTCTTTTTAATTAATTTAATGATTATTGAATATTTGTTTATTGAAGAAATTGTTTAATAAACAAGTGAGTCCCACACCCTAAACCTAGACTCGTCATCGTCGCAACAACCTTCCATCTCCTTCCTCTCTTTGTCGCAACAACCCTTAGCACCTGACCAGACTAATGTGTTGTTTGATTTTTTTTTAGGCAAAATATCTGTAGTCTGCGCACCACATCTGTAGATCTCTGCAGCAGAAGAGGTGGACCAAACGTCTGCAGTCTGAAAAAAGAAGACTGTTTGTTTTTTTTTTTAATATCTGCAGGCTACTACAATAAACTAAAATCTAAATAAATTGATTTTTTTAAACTACAAAGTGATTTTTTAATATATTTATGACTTTGTTATAAATAATTAACACATCTAAATCAACTTTATGTATTATTGTATAAAAAGTGAAAATAAAAATTGTATAAATTAACGTATATATTTTATAAAAACCAACAAATTTTGGTCGCAAAGTTATGCCTAAACATTGTAATTAAGAATCAAAGAATTTGATATATAAATGAATGGAAAAATACTTCGATTTTTTCAATTAAATCAATTAAAAACGTGCAATAACTATTTTTTCTAAGAAATTAAGGATGTTTTATTAAATAATGTTTTATAAAATTTGGCACAAAAAATATGAGAATATATTATTATTTTTTTCATATTCATATAAACAATTTCAACGACCATTATTGTAATAAACTTTTATTTATAAATTTGTCAAAAATATCATGTTTGTGTCGGCGAACTTTTTTTTAAGTATTGTAACTTTTTTTTTCAAAGTGTTTATCACTAATAAAGTTGGAATAAATATA